GGTTGTTTCATCCAAATTGGTTTGGTACATCAAAAGTTATGGTCAAAAATGTGTAAAACTCTTAATGTTAACAATAGGCTCTATAACTACAAAAGCAGTGCAAGAATCTAAAATTTTAATCTAAAAATTTAAGATTTATAAAAAGTAATTAAGTTACTCTATGCTTTGTAATTGCATTAGCAGTGCAAATACCTTATTTCTAGATAATTTAGACTCCAAAACTGTAAAGACTTTATACTCAGGCACTATTTCATTTTTCAACTGATTCTCATCATAGCTATGTGATTTTTATGAAGAAGAACTTTAATTTGATACTTATAATATAATTATATATAAATAAATTAGTATTATTATTGTTTCAATATAGTGAACCTATTCCCATATATTATTTCATTAATATATATATTAATAAAGTTCTGATTGAGCAATAATAATTTGAGCTTCTTGATTTTTTTCATTTTTCATAAACATTTTTAATGTAAGAAGTAAAATTATAATTTGTTGGATGGCAATTCTGTTTGAGTGATCTCTTTGAATACTCAATTGATCACAAAATTTTCAAAGGCAAGTATAAAAAAAAGGGGTTTGTTGTAAAAAGTTTGTTGATTAAAATGACAAACTCATTTAAAACCTTTTACTAATAAAAAATACTTTATAAACATTATCAAGTTATGCATAATTATTGTAATAATAAACTCCCTAAACCAATTTTAAATATTTTTCACTAAATAAAATTTATTCTTCGACACTTTTTGACCTTTGGATTGAGGCGCTTAAGAACACCCTAAATTGTGTGATCTAAATTGTGCTATTTCATTGGCCAAATCAATAAGGTGCACCATATAATATGCTATATTAATATTAAATTATTTATAATATGTACTAACTCTAATTAAAGAATTTTTTAGATAATAAATTTTATACGTACAGTACTTCGCATATTTAATTTAATATTTTTTGGTTCATTTTTGTAATTTGTTATGTATTAGTATAGACCTGATAGGATTCTAACCCCTCCACCCTCCTAAAAAATCAGGTGATTTCTGTCTCTCCCTAAATTGATTTATAACCCGATCGGGAGGAAACGTACCCGATCAAAACCATGAAAGATTATATTTGTAACATTGACAGTTAAGTGATCCATCATTGTGAAGTGATTTTTTTAGATGCTGTACACCATTGTATAAGATAAGGATGGCTCTGAAAGTAGGTAATTTCGGTACCTACCGAAACTGAAAGTCTACGGAAAGTACTTTCGGAAAGGATTTGGTTTTCCGAAATGTCCGAAAGTCGAAGGTCTTACCGAAAGTCCTACCGAAAGTCGAAGTCCTACCGAAAATCGTAAGTCCTACAGAAAGTCGAACATATCACGTGATACAGACTTCGACAAAGGCCAATCATATCTTGACACAGATATATTTTTGATTTTAAAAAAGTAACGTGACCATTGCACTTAAAATCGACCAATGGAAATTTCAGAATTCCATTGGTCGATTTTAAGTGCAGCGGTCATGTGTGTCGGGTTTTAATTGGGTGCACTGAGGAGCGATCCGGGACGTGAGCAGGGATCCAGGAAATTTTCGATATAACATAGGGTATGATAACGTATTTAAGTTTTACAGCGAATATCACGAGATATAGTGATCAGAATCGAACAATTTTGGTACCATTCGATTCGTCTCATTGAGACAAATCGAATGGTGCCAAACTTGTTCGATTCTGATCGCTAGATCACGAGATATTACAAATTAGAATAAAGGCTAAAAAATTAAAAAATTATTATGCAAGGATCAATTATGGCACAAATGTGATATCTCAAGATCTAGAAATTGGACGATTTTTGTATCATTCGATTTGTCTCAACGAGACAAATCAAATGGTATCAAAATCATTCAATTCGGATCAGTAGATATCAAACCTTATGAGCGTTAATAAAAAAAATTCTTGGTATGAACTATTTCCCGCCTCTATCCTAAATCCACCATTACCCTAATCTTAGACAACGCTTAATTTTTAGTTTTATAAAAATTGTTTTAATTTGAGTGTTATTGTCGCATCTGAAGTAGCGATTTATCTAAAATAGCCACTTTATATATTTAAAGTAGTGCCCTGGCTAAAATTAAAATCTAATGCATGCATTAAGATCTAATTTCAGGGGCTTAATTTTAGCCAGGCGCTAACTTCAAATAAATCACTTCAGATGCGACATTACTACCGTATACTATACACTACGTGTACATTTTATGTATTTACCATTTACGCTACCACTATGACATCGCTAATTGTAAAAAAATTTGATTGATGATTTATACTATACACCTTCACTATACTTGTAATTATTGCGCTTTGCAAAAGTATGGCCCTCGCAGATCTAAGAGAATTTTACAGATTTCAAAATAGATAGAAATATTATTGATTGAATATATGATTGATAAACCATTTAGAATCTCCGAAATTTCCCATTATCGTTGTTATGAAAATTGTGGGGTTACATTTTTTTGCAAAGCACAATAATAGATCACCACAACCATATGTAAGTATGAAATTTACAACTCTAGTTACCAATAATAAAACTTTATTAAAAAGTTTATTAGTTACAGATTTTATTCCAATAAAGTATAATTTTTTTAACCAATTTCGATAGTGTTCATTTCACCAACAATCACCAACAGATCATCAATTGAGATGAATACCTGTAAAGTTTGCTTACCATATGTAAATTTTAGAAAACACATCTCAAGAACAATAAAAATATATATTTTTTGTCAATACGGTTAGGAAAATAATATAAATTTTCATGTTTTAATACATTATTCAATTAGCTGTGTAAAAGATTTTGCGGACGAACATCATTGAAGAGCTATAGTAACGCTGTTAATAGGGATCAAAAAATAATTTAACTATACAATAATCTGCTGCAATACTAACCAAAAATGTTGAATTACATCGACCTACGGTAAAATTTTTTTTTCGTAACAGTACGCATAAATACATGTGTTGGAATGTTAATGCAAATTTGACATTTGGACCAATTTTATATATGACGTAAAAACATTTTCGTCTTAATTATCCATATGGGTTATTCAGAAGAAAATGTTTTTATATCACATATAAAATTGGTCCCGGTTCAAAAATAATTACTTATCCGAGTCTACAGCTAGAATTTAACCTTTACATACGTATTCTGTATATTATTAAGTAATTTAAGAGTTGTCGACTACATATATCAATTACGTATATCGATTGCATATATTTATAATAAAAAGATCGGTTGTTCAAATGTAATAACGTGTTTATGTACAATGTCAAATTGCCTTTACCAAGTTTGCGAATTCGACATTTGCTTCGCAAAATTCTAGTTGGTAGGCTCTCATTGTCATTGGCGAGCTTTTTATCAATTAAAGCTGATAAAAGGCCTAAAGCCAAATGCATTTTTTGTAATCCCGATGAGTCTATGTCAGACTCTGTCGCAGTAATGGGTTGGGTTCTCATAGGATTGTAAACTTACACTATAATTTACATAATAACTTACATGATTTTAGAAAATTTGACTAAGTAAACATATTAAAATTGTTTGCAAGTTACATTGTAAGTTACATTGTCATACTTGAAATTCACTCCTTAATGGAATTCAAGGAACGCGTTGGTTATAGTATGAAGTCTATAACTTTATGGGATTTGGAGAGTATATATGCGTCGAATATACAACTTATTCAAAGAATATTTAGAAGGCTTTATGAGAGAGACAACGCAATTGTATGTGAAGTTACAAAAGGTTGTTCAACTTGGGTGTTTGAACCCATTCACGATTATCATGTGATCACGATCGTGTTAAGGTTCTTAACGACTACTTTAATGAGATATAAGTATAATTGTGTATGGAGACACAATTAAATACCTTATTTAATAAAATATAAAGAAAGCAACCATATAACAAAAATAATATAAAAGAAAAAAATAAAGAAAATCTATGAGGGATTCAGTATTCTAACTGAATGTAAAAGATGAGAGCGAAGTCTGCTACAGTATTTACTTGGGAAAAATCGAAGAGAAAACCTATACTAATTTGTATTCGTACTATCTAATAATGAAAATTTCTAGCTATTATCCTTTAATTTAGTAGTAAGAAAGCTAAACCCTACTTTTTTGATGCATCTAAACATACCCAAAAACTAATCAATAAGATCACACGTTATTATAGTTTTCAGGTATGTTTAGATGTATCAAAAAGGGAAAGTCTCCGCACACTTACCAACCATTTAGTAGTTCATGTGATTTTACACTTACCATTAGGGTTAGATTAACTTTGATTGGTTGGTTTATATTTGGTAAGTACAAAATCACGTGAATTGTAAGTGTCCGGAGACTTTCCCTATCAAAAAAGTAGGTGCAAGTGATCTATAACGTGGTCATGTGAAACATGCGACTTATTACTGCGGATAGGATTTTAGTTTAACCTCAAAATTTTCATTTAGAAGATCAAAACCATCAATAATTTATAACGTACAACGAGTGGTTTTAAAAAATAACTATTAAATTTGGATGTTTCCTATTTAGAATATAAATGATAACAATTTGACATTTATTGCCGGTAGCGATACTACCACCTCACAATTTTAGACCGAGGTTAAGGATAGATATAAAGGTCCAAATTTCATTTAAGGTTAGGTTTTTGAGGTCCTGTGATATCGCCATTGACGGTCAATAGCAATCTTCTAGTTATAATAATTAAATAGAATTACAGTATTTATTATTTATTATAACAAATTTAAGAATATGCAGAATGGCCTTTAATAATTTTTTTGTTTTTTTAGAATATGCAGAGTATGCAAGAATATTTAAATTTTAGAACACTTTAAGAACAGTGACGGCAATCACATGATAATAATACCATAACGTCCTTTAAACTAACTCTTCCCAAAATTCGAAAATTTTGCCGATCCCAGTATCGCCACCAAAATGTTTCAGTCACGTGAAATTTTTGTGGCGTAAAACGAATCAGATTTCAAGATCAGGTGGATCGTTACACAATCAAGAAAATTCAAAACAAACGTTCGCTTTGTCAAAAATCAAAACGCAGTATAAGAAACCACCTATAGTACTCTAACAAAAAGTTTTCTTGAACGATTTTACTATTAAACTTCCTCTAACCCTAACATTATGATAGACCCTAAACCTAAACGAATTTTAAAGAGGCGATTTTTAAAATCCAGGCAAGCTAGCATAATTCTGGCCAGCTCGTATAATTCTGGTCGGCTTGCATAATGCTGCAGGCTACGCCACATATCGGTACCACATACGTAGAATGAAATTGATCACAAAAGCAACAACAAAAAAGGAAGCTGATTGAAGTGAGAATCATATGAAGGTAATGTAGCGACATGCGGGAACAATACGGCATAAAATGCTTGTGACAAGAATAACAAAAGGCGTATAAATATCATAAACCAAAGGCACAGATACGCTGGTATCAAGAAAGCCAGAAACAAATTTCTCAACCCACCCACGCCAATTACGTGATCCTATCATTTCTCTACTCACATTTCTTGTACGTCTCTAACCCAGCCGGCTTGCCTCGGAAGATTGGAAACCACCGCTTATTAACCCTACGACGACTCCCAGCGTAATATTTATTCTCGGCAAATTATTTGTTTCTTAGCCATGTACTACATTATCATAATAAAATTTCTGGCCTGCCAAAAAAAAAAAAAGTATTTTCAAGGAATGAGACGATGCTTTTCGTAATCAAAAAATCCTTTAATTTCCAAATTTACATTTTCCTAGACCCAGTTTACTTATTTGCGCAAGTAACACAAAATAAAAAAAAAGGAAATCGAATTTTGTAAATAAACTAAGTGCGTAAAGATCGTTAACATTAAATGCTATTACAATAATTTATTACTTGCTCTATGGAAATTTTTGTTCGCACTATTTTTAATTAGTGACCCAAGGTTGATTTAAACACTAGTTTTTGAGTATTTTAGCCTTTTTTCGGTATGGTGCACTCCGATTGGCCATTTCCTTTTTAGAGGTTTTATTACTCGCAAATAACGATAAGTGCGTGCTCCTAGACTAGCGTGGACCAATATTGTTCAAGATTTTGCATTTTTTCACAAAATGATCAAATAAATTTTGGTTAGCGTATTTCAAAACAAAAATATTATAAATTATTGTATACTTAATCGAGGCAAAAACCTGTTAAAAGCAATATGTAAGATACAAGCTAGGGCTAAACGAATCTCATATTAAATATATGCTATGTGATGCACTTCCTGCATTGTCCAATCAATTATGAGACTGCGGATATATACATCACTAAAAACACCCTATAAACTATATCATCATGATTGGTACGTACTTATGTGCACTAGGTTATGCATTATCTCTATAAAAAGATTAAAATTTAAAATTTTTTGCACTGTACCTCGAAATTTTGAATAGCATTGATTTTTGTCTGCTATCTCAATGTCTGTCACAATTAAAGAGACACTTTACATTAAGCCCACCAGGCCAACGAAACATGTTGAAATTCCGCTTTCTAATTGTGATATTATCTTGCCACCAGTTTATGTCGGGCCCATTTATTTTTTTAAAAATGTTTTAAAGAAAGATGATTTTATGAACATTCAAAAACTTTTAGCATCACTTGGGGATGTATTAAACGATTATTATCCTCTGGCTGGTACACTTAAAAGTGCGCCTAATGGTAGTTATATCATCGACTGTAATGATCGTGGCATTCAATTTATCATTGCTGAGTGTTCTGACATTACAATCAATCAACTTGAAGAAAAGAATTGGGAACATGAGGTTATTCCTTACGGATTATTGGAATCAGAAAGATTTGCTACTAAAATTGATTCAATCCTATGTACAATACAACACACTACTTTTGTTGATGGTTCCGTAGCCCTTGGTTTTGCCATACATCATTATATCATGGATGGTACTGGTCTTTTTACTTTTATTAAAAATTGGGGGCTAAGAACTCGTTTAGAACCAATTGACCCACCTATCCATGATCGAAGTTTGCTAAAAGGAAGTGGTAACCCTTCTACATATGTTCCTGACGAATATTTCTTAATGGAACCAACTGAAAATTTTTCTTCAAATCTACAAAAGAACCTTAAAAATATGCCTTCATTAACTACCAAAATTTTTCGCTTTAGTCAAGATGATCTTAAAAGGTTACGTGATTATTATTCTGTTGGTATTCCTAATGGGAGTTGGATTTCAACAAATGATGCACTTGTAGCTCACTTTTGGAGGACACTCACTAGAGCTCGAAATATTGATTTAAACACTGAAGTATTTTGTAGCATTGCTCTTAATGGACGTGAGAGATTAAATCCACCTATTCCAAAAACTTACTATGGAAATGTTGTTTTGTAAATAGATTTGATTTGTTTATTATTATCATTATTTTTTTTTTTACATTTTAAAAATAACTTTAATATTATTTAATTTCATTTTATATTTAGCCAAGTATGTCCAAGAATGCTTGTCTCTCAATTGATTAACGGTCCACCATCTACAGTAGCACTTCAAGTTCGAAAAGCTATTACAAATATGAATGATAGTCGTATGCGATCCATAATTGATTGGATTGAACAACAACCAGATAAATCATTGATTACCGCAAGTATTGTGTACAATGGCGAGACTTTTGGAATAACTAATGTGTCAAAATTTCAAAAGTATAATTTAATAGATTTTGGTGATGGAATTCCTGCAAAACAGAGACGTCATCGAGAGTTTTTAGTTGATGGGCTTTATATAGTACAAAGTACTGAGAATGATGATGGAATAGAAGCTTTCTTTAGTTTACAAACAGAAAAATTGAAAATCTTGGAGCAGGATCCTGAATTTAAGAAATTTATTGTTTCATAACATAGCTCATAATAACCACTACCAGATTTTATGCTCTCAATCAATCTGTATAATAAAAAAATTTTTATTTAATTTTTTATTAAAAACTAAAGAAACCTGTGTTATTACGCATGTTGTAATGGATAATTTTGTCTATGAACTTTATTTCCATGTTGCTTCATAATTAAGATGTCATACATAGTGATACGGGCCGATGAAAAAATCTCGTGTCAGGGCCGGCCCGGGCTGACCTCAGTGAACGATTCTCGAATGATTTTAAATAACATTCAATCCTTCTCATCCTTTAGACATGAACTATGTGTCATCCAGATTCGATTCAATCTTTTTTTTTCTGCGTATATTGAAAGTTCGAATTTTATGTTGACTTATTATCTCGATTCCGAAAATTCCGGCCGGGACGCCATATCCATAGTGATGTTTACAGCTGTTCTCATAAATTTTGGACATCTGGTAAAAAATTGAGCAAATGATTATTAGGCCGATTCGATAAGTTTATGATAAATTTCATGATTTTTTTTTTTTTAAAAGCGAGGCCTGACCTCTATTCCTTTATTATCATTATATAAATTTTTTACAAGAAGTAAGTGAATACAATGTTATGGAGAACTAGAAACTAAAGCCAATTTACTTTTGACCTAGACTTTGCTAAGAAGGTCCAGGGCCTCCTAGTCTATGTATATAATGTTTGTTGTAGGTACGTTTTGTTGAATAAAATTTGGAAACCATTTGTTATATTTATTCTGTGCAATATCCATAATAGGATAGAATTGGGCTTGAGTAGTCAGTAGGTTGGTTGGGTCACAGCATTTGAGTTTTGGTTCTGAATATGAGATATGTTAGTACATCTATGCTTCTATATTTGTTTGTATATTTTTTTGTAGAGTTTATGATAAAAGTATAATGTATGTTGGTTGTTGGTTAGGTTAGGTAGTTTTGTTGTAAAAATAATACCTAAGATACCAAGTTAACTTAGGTATTACATTCAGTATATACTATTGTTTCTGGTAGAATTTGAAATAAAATATAAGTAATATTAAGTGTGCTGGTTATGATTTAGGAATTGAACCTGTATTCAGGTTACCTGGGTTACCTGCAAGTAGGTCATATAACCAGGTAAAAATCCTGCTACTTGGGTAAAATAAGTTAGCCAATAAGATATTGTTATAATAAAAAAATCAACTATATATATATATAATTAATATGGGACAATATAATCAAATGCCAGAAGTTGCCATATGCAAAATCTGAGCTTTTTACATCTTACCAATTTTAAAGCTTATAATGAATCCTGACTTTAGCATAAATGCATAGTGAAGTTATATTATTAGAGAAAATTATACATTAAACTACTTTAGTGCACCTTCTATAAGTGCACACTCTATAAATGTACATTCAATTTCAGGTCAAAATATATGTATAGCTCTATAAATGCACTTTTTATTATGGTTCTCTAAGTGTATACTGTTAAAGTTTAGTTCCAAGCACATACAAATATAAAGGTTTTACTGTAAAAAAAATGCACATTTTACATTTATACAATCTAATATTTGAAAAAGCTGCATTTAATTAACACAGATTCTAGATTTACTATTACATATAGGATCCTGTTATATTAATATATTATATAGAATAACAATCCCAAATCTTAAACTTTTAAATATTTTTATTAATAGAATGTTTAGTGAATTGTATGTACTTGTATAGGTTGAAATACTTTGCTAAAATTAAAATCTACAATTCACAGAATTTTCAGTGAAATTATTATAATTTTAATAAACAACACAATTGTTAGTAAGTAATATTAAAAGGGTTGTTTAAGAACATTTAATTAATATTTAAACCATCCAAATAACAATAGCTTGTTCTGAAAGATTTAATTATTATGATTACTTAAAATTTCTCTAATAAAGTTGCTATTTATTAAAATATAATAAATGAATTAAATAGAGTAGCTACAAAATGTATAATGTACAATTGACAATACTCTATACCTATTACAGATTATTGTTATATCTCCATAATTATTATAATTATTATGGATGTTATAGCCCTAATCAATTTTTCTTCAACTACTGCAATGCTGTGATTAGTAACTTTGATGACCATCAGGTTAATTCTCAATGAATGTTAAATCTACTTAAAGACAACTATGATAATTTGTATATGTATTACATATATAAAATTCATGCTAGTCTAAAAAGTCAAGTAATTAATATTAAACTAGATTGAAGTAATAATACTATTAAAGGTAAAACTAAATAAATAGACTATGCAAAGAAGTGTAAAATCTAAGACAAAACATCATTGAATTCATATAAAATAATTAATAATCATATGAATTAAATAAAAGCAATAATACTATTAAAGTTAAGGCCAGAGAAATAGCTGTGCAAAATATAAAATCTAAGATAAAAAAAAATTGTAAACATAAAATTATATATAATTATTAAGAACAAAATATAGAAATGGCTGTGTAAAGCATATAAATCTAAAATGAATTCAGAGATCATCAAATTCATATGAGTAATGCCAAAAGAAAATCAGAATTTTTTGATTATATAAACTTTATATAATCGAAAAATTGGACTTCTCTTGATATCATTCATATGAAAAAAAATTAGTACAAATAAATCAGATACTTAGAAACAGGGCTGTATAAAGCATAAAATTCTAAAATAAATTCCTAAATATTATTGAATTTATGAGTAATGCTAAGAGAAAATCAGATTTTTTGATCACATAAACTTTATATAATCAAAATTAGATTTCTCTTAATATCATTCATATGAAAAAAAATTAGTACAAATAAAAATCAGATGCTTAGAAACAGAAATGGCAAATAGAATAAGATACTTTCTAATTGTATAGCCAAAAGCCAAAATAAATAAATAATAATAATAACTAATAAAAAATAAGCATCAAATAAAATTAATAAATACCTTTTCATTAGGTTAATAAATATTTTTTTTTAAACACTTCTGGCTAAAATTTATAAATTTTTATATGTATTATATTATCTTCATTGCTTTTTGCATACTTTAATATAATCTATAACCTATTTCAAAAGTTACAAAATGAATGTTGAACATAGTTCAATGTTAATGTATCTACAGAATTTATGGAGCCAGATATTCAACAAAGTGATGAGCAAATTTTGAATCAAGAGATTGAATATAATACTATCAACTTAACTAATGCTAGTGCAAAACCAAACTCTCATTTATCACTTTTTGTAATCACAAAATCAAAAAAATTAGGATAAATTTCGATGTAAACATCAACAAAGACAAAAAAAACTAGGTTTGGGATTATTTCTTAACTGAGAAAAATGAGGATGTTTGCAAAATTATTAGATTTTTTAAAGGAAAAAAGAAGGAATGTAGTAAAAATACAAACATAATAGTGGAACTAAAAATATGGCCTATCATTTACAAACCTATCATAAAATATTTGGTAAAAAATATTTGATGATAAATCAATTTCGCAATGTCAGCAATTAAAAATTAATGATATGCTTAACAAATATATACCTTATAACTCTACAAAACAAAATAAACTATAATGTGCAACATCTGAATAGTTAGTGATTGATTCACTTCTATTAAATACAACTCAAAAAAAAGGATACAAAAAAATGATTAGTCAATTTGATCCAGCTTTTATGTTTCTAAGTCCTAGAGGTATTAAAGCATATATTAGCAAGGCTTATGAAAATAGTATATTATTACTTAGAAAACTTATTGCAAATACTTGTGAAACTGCTTTCTTAACAACTGATTTTTGGACTTTCTGTAGTCAAAATGGATATATTGGAATTACATTACATTGGTTAACACCTAATTTCGAAGTGCATAATGCAATTATATCAATTAAAAAATTGATTACCCTCATACTTTTAAAAGAATTAAAGACCATATTTATAAAAAAATAAGTAAATTTGGTTTGTTAAATAAAATAACATTCATAATAACTGATAATAGTACCAATATTAAAAAAGTAATTAATGAATGGGAAGATGTTACCCAATTACCTTGCTCAGCCCATACTCTACAATTAACAGTTAATTGTGCATTAAATATAATTAAACCTTATACTATTGTATTTGTAAACTAGTAAAATTTTTTAATTCTTCAAAACAAAAACAGCAGCTTAATTATGCACAATTTGAATTAGCACAGCATAATATTATAGAAAAAACTATAACTTATATAAATGAAGAATTAGATAAGTCTATTGTTCTATATAAGACTAAATGTAATAATGAAACAGAAATAAAAATTTTGAGTTCAATTAAGAATTTAAAAAAAGATGAAATGCAAGTTATCAAGCATGGAATCATTTATTAATTTTTGAGCCATCAATTAAATAGTTAAATGGAATGCTTAGTCTTTTAAATAAACCAGATGCAAAAAAAATGCTCAAGTGTTAAAAAAACACATGCTATATAATTATGAGTAGGAGCTATTATATAAGTTAGTTGATATTTTGCAACCTTTTGATCAGCTAATAACATACCTCAGTGGAATGCAGTATGCTACACTATTGATAGTTAATTTGAGTATTAAAGCCTTAAAATATGAATATGCTAATGAGACGACATTATCTACTGATAATTCAAACCATATGTGAATTAATCAGAATGAATTAGAAAATGAAAATGGTTAATATATTCTAATATAACAATAATTATTGGAACTATTTAATATTAGCCACAAAAAAACTAAGTTTATAGTATTGGATAAAATTATCATAATACCAGTTAAATTAAATGATTACAGTAATGTAGTTAAATGGTTAACTGATTAGGAAAATTTAAATAGTTTTAGTACTATTAAATAAATGAATAAATTTAAACATTAATATATATAAAAATAAAATTTCAGAATCTAATTTATCTTATAATGAAAATGAAACAAGCAGCAAAAGTAAGTCTAACAGTGAACATTTAACAAATCTGCATAAACACAATACTTGAAGTAAAAAATATAAATTACTACTAATGAATTCTATTAATACAATAGTTGCAAAGTTACATAATGTAATTTACAATTCACTTTGGCATTATTGGCCAGATACAGACAGATCAAAACTAATAGCAACATTGTTGGATTCAAGAGTAAAACAAATAGATATATGGCCAGACAAAATTCAAGAACAAGCAATTATTAAATTGTATAATGAGTTTCAAAACTTTGTTATTAGTACAAAGCCTACTTTACAACACCCAATTCATCAACCTTCTATAGCACCTTTCCTGGCACCAAACTTTATGAAAAAATTTTTAGTTCTTATTAGTCTCAAATTAGACATGAAATTAAAATCAATAATTATCTGAATCCTCAAATTACACCACCTGAATGTGAAAAAAAAGATATTTATTTTTGGTGGCACCTTAATCAAAACATCTTTTCCATACTAAGTAAAATGGCATAAAAATACCTCTTAATCCCAGCAATGTCAGTTCTAAATAAAAGGTTATTTTCTGTTGCTAAAAATCAAATTACTTCTTAGCAAACCAAACTTATCTCAGATATTGTAAACCAATTACTTTTCATTAAATAGAATAGCCTATATTGTGATATGTGGTCTTATTCAAATTAAGTAAAAATTAAATAATAAATAATTTGGTATAATCTTTTTAACTTAGGGTATGAACCAATTATTAATATGTATGCACATATGTATATACATATATACATACATATAATTAACAAAAAAATGATAAATTTATTAAAATGTGCATTCTTTAAAAATTCTTAAACATGACAATAAACCTTAATAAAACTTATCAATTCTATTCATTTGTAGTCACTAGATGTCTAATATATAAATAACTTCTAAAACATAAATTGTATATATTCTTAAAAATTATTTCTTAAATTAATGCATCTCTAATAGTAATTAAATAGGGTCTAAATTGTGTAAAAATTACTTACCAGAATATGGGTTGCTGATAAGCACTAAAATTGTATTGTTTAATTTAAGACAAAATTTATTTGGTCTACAGCTATATAAGAAAACAAAGTGTTATATAGTCATAAAGAAGATTAAATTAGTTAAATAGCATTATAATACTGTTTAGGTAAAACCTTCATATATATTATTTTGCTTGAAATTTCATTTGTAAATCTAGAGCAAGCTTTTTACTTCAATAGCTTATAGTTATATGTAATGATATCACATGATAATATATTGACTAATCAAATTGCATATTTTGTGAATTAACATTTTATCTGTATTATATCTGGGTATGCTATCTGTTAACTGGCAGGTAACCTGAGTCAGATTTTTTGAACTGGGTTTAACTCTTATTATGATTTGTTGTAGGAGTATGCTATTTGCAGACATATGATTCAGTAATTATTATCTTCAATATGGTTTTTGCATCATTGACATGTTGGGTCTAAGTATATGTTAGGATATTTATTATTTAGGTTTTTGTAAGTAAGTAGTTCATCTAGAAGTATTTTAATTTTGAAAGACTTCAGTTACAACTTTTGGGAATGTATAGATCTTGTTGTAGATTTGTTTTTGTAGCTTATGAATTGAGTTGTTATTTTTCAGTTAATTGGATATTGTTGTCAGGCTTGCATTCAGTTTTGCAAATATTATTTTGCTGGTACTTGAGCATTTTGTAAGTTTCTAATGAGTCTTTTAATGTTGTGTTTAACAGGTGCTGTTTGCATTAATGGAATGTATATGTTGCGAAGAATTTTAATATAAAGAATGTCTATTGTAAATATCTTATTTATATAGTTACATTGTTCTAAATTGGCCTTATAAATAGATTGTAAAAAGAGAGTCTGTATTAGTTCACCAACAATCAAATCACCGACACAACACTTCACTAACAATCAATTTACTGACATGTTTGTTTTACAGACAATCAATTCACCAACACTCAATCGATAGACAAGCTGACTTAATCGACAAGCTTATTTTAATGACAATTAATTTACCGACATTCATTTTGCCGACAAGATTGAATCATCAGTAAGCTTATTTCACTGACAATACATTTTACTGATGAGCTTATCCAATAATTAGCTTGAATTGACATAATAAAAAAATTAAATTAGTATCGAACAAGACAAAAAATCAAG